TAATAATACAGGGCAGGTCGAGGAAAAGCGCCAGTGCCGTTCGAGGGTGCGCGCATGGGTGCACCGCTAGGAGCTTACCGTAAAACTTCATCACAACTTGCCGTGCTGCAAGGGTTCACTTAGCTTACACATCAAACCGTTGTGTACTTCTTTTTATTCACACCGTTCGGATTTCTGTCAACATGCACCTCTTAACCCGTTTCGTAGTTATCACTAGAATCACAGCTTGAGGATTTCTGTCAACATGCACAGCTTACAATTTTTTTTTAAATACGCCGCGCCGGTATAAAGAAACAAATTTCTTTATACTGGTGTTCAAAAAAATGCGTAAGCGTTACAGGTTGACGGAAATTCATAAACTATGCAAAAAAGGGGGGGGGGGTTATAAGAATTTTTGCACATTAAAGTGTAGAACAAGATGACGGGTACAACTGCGAAACTGGATCTGAAGATCTCTTTATTCTCAGACGTGTACTGATTTTTTTGTCAGTTAAAACGTTAGAATTCTCTCTACAGCAGGAATTACTGATCAATTTGTCGATTATTCTGTAAAGTTTCGTTAAATATATACCAATAAAAAATCAAATTGTCAGTACTGTAAAAAGGAATTGATGCGTATTATTGATAGGAAACTATAGTCATTATTCCTCCTGCATAAAAATTTAACATAAGTACTGACAAAGGGCAGCACTTTTAAGACATACAAGATGGCGCCCTTGTCGAAAATTAAATTGTTGTTTATGGCTAGAAAACGCCAGCTGGCAGTGTAGGACCTCTCGAGTTTCGCAACTATAACTATGTCATCTTGTTCTACACATTGATTTGTAGAGTGCCGTGTGTGCGAAACCGGCATCGAGGACGGGGCATGTTTGTCGTGCACTCTCCTACGTAGACCTTCCTGAAACATGCAGGGCTAAGTCGGGGGACGCTCCCAACCCCTCCCCCCGGTCCCGCGCGTCCCGCACTCGGTCTCGCGGTGCCAACTCGGGCGGGCGGCAGGTCCACTTTGCGGCTGTAGACAGACTGCATAAAAGATGGGGGGGCTCCACCACGAATGCGAGGTAACGCCCCGATAGAGACTCGCTGCTCAGGTTTTAACAGCACTGCACTGGCGCACTCCAGAAGGAGAGGGAGAGAGCGAGACAGAGACAGAGGGAGCGGGAGGGAGAGAGAGAGAGGGAGAGAGAGAGAGAGAGAGAGAGACGTCCGTTGCCCCCAAGCGGGAACTTTTTCTTCCTGCCTAGCATCTTCTCCGTCAGCCCTACTTCTCTCACACAATCTATGCCACTGCCGCTGGAACAAACTCTGCTGCTGCCCCTTTGATCGGGACGGCCAAGTTGTTCATAAAGCCCCCTCAGCCCCCCCCCCCCCCAAGAAAAAGGAGGAAAAAAAGGACCTCAGCAAGCCATGAGGAGGTGAGCGGGGAAACAAGGGTCAAGAGTCGTTCGGAAGCGCCGCCGCTGGGAAGTCAGCCTGCCAATGCCTTCCTCCCTGCTGCCAGCTTAACCCAAAAACTGATGTTCGACAAATATTCCGTCTCATATCTCCATTTCAAATGATTCGAAAATAATTCACCTGCAACGACCATCCTGCTCCTCTACATTCATTGATAAAGACGTTTCTTGGAATTTCACGTGGATTCAGTTACAACAGCCTTTGATAATATATGAGAATTCTAAGTGGACAGTTTCTAATTTTGAAGTAATTTGACGTTGTAAAGGGTATGAAGCACATGTAGACAAGCATAATTTGGCTTTTCAAATTGTTGCTGTCAAACTATTAAACCCAAAGGACGTTGGAAAAGAATTTAAATTATTTTGCAATCATCGTAATTCTACACAAAGGCTAAATACAAATCTTTCTTCTCTTCTTGATTGTTTATTCCTCTTTACCTTAAGGTTGCACTCATTTTGTATAAGGTTTGTGGTCTGACATGAGCGCCTTTTCCAGATGCTGGCCCGTCGGGCCCGCCGCGCGGCCGCCCAGTGGGCGCTGCTGTCACTGTGCCTGCTCGCCTCCGCCACAGGTAAGTCGGGCATTCCGCGTCGTCGTGGACAAGAAGACCCTCGCTCCGTTCAACTAAGTGGGAAAATGGACAAGGTCTTTTCATTTATGCATTTTTATTTTCTTTTAAAGTATGTTTAAAAGGAACCCTCTAAAATTTCGAAGAGGGTGAAAAATGAATGGAAAGTCGTTGTCAATAACGAACGATAGACGAAAAAGGGGGAGTACGTGTATGCGCAATCCGCGTTCTCCAACCGCACCAATCGCTCTACCTGTACAGTCGGCCGCAAAACCGAACGAGGGGCCGGAAACGAACCGCGCCTACGCGCACCTCAAAATCCCTCCCCATGCCGTACCGCGCGCCCAAGGAGAGAGCATGTTGTTGCTTGAAGCGATGGCGCGAAGGCGTTGGCAGCGGGTGCGCGGAGGCGGCGGGGTTGGGCGTGCACAACAGCTGAACCCGCGGCCGTGGCGGCGAACAACAGTACCGCGCAGACTGCCAGGAAAGAAGAAAAGCAAAAGAAGAACAAGAAGAAGAAAAAAAAGGTCGATTCTGCCTTCACTTGACGCGACCAAGGGGGGAGAGAAAGCTAAGCCTTCTGTGCGTCAATGATCAAGAAGAGCGGGCGACGGGGTAGAGAAGGGGAAGGCGGGGATGAGGAGGGGGGAGGGGGGAGGAGGGGAAATCAATTTGAAGCTCGACAAAGGCGGCTGTATGGTGTTTACAAGGGCCGCAGCACGCCGAAGAGCGCGCGCGTGCGAATAGAGAGGGGGGGACACTGAAATGCCCTTTTGTCGCCGTGTCGCCGCCGACCAGCAGCGCGCGTCATACTGCTCGGCGGTGCCTGGAGGCAAAACGGCCACCTTTGCTGTCGGCGGTAAGGGCAAAAGGGACACACTTAAGTTTTGGCTAAATTTGAAACGCGCGCGTTTCGCCGATAATTTGCAGTAACGGCACTCGTGTTTGCCTTTGGAACGGTGGAGTTAGTGAGAGAGAGGGGGGGGGGGGGAAGCACTGGATTAACTAATGTGACATGTATCACATTACAAGTGTGACATCCTTGGCACGGTCACATGTCGTGGTGTGATACCTCCTCCATGCCCACACCTCTCCAGCTTCTGATGATGTCTCAATTTGGTGAGACCAAAGCTCAAGTCACATTACATGGTGTGTGTGTAAACTCCTAACTGCAGTTAAGAAAACGATGGACATGGTATATATGTGTCGTTTTGGTGGTAACTTAGTGAGAAAAAGCTGGTAAAAAATATAATATTTTTATAGAAACCAGCAGGGAACAATCAAAATGACATCAATTCAACGCGAACTCGTCGAAAACGAGAGCGTTTTGCCATGCAAATCATGTCGTGTTGTGTCAGTTTTGCGTCCCCCATGAACGCATCCTGAGGAATGTGTGTGCAGCCATTGCACACCGGCGCGGCACTCCTGCCGCGTGGGCATGCGCCCATGGACTATACCGACTCCAGCAGGATAGCCCGCCAGCAGCGTGCCTGCATGGCGTCCATGAGGCTCCAGAGACGCGGCTCCGGCGGGGCGGGCGAGTTCCACCAAGCGGGGTGCACGGGCCCCCGCCGAATCCAGTATTCCAGACACGCGGCTCGGTCCGGGGAGAGGAAGAGGTGGAGGGTTGGGGGGGGGGG